ATACTAAGAGTTTATTTGTTCTTGCAATCATATATTTAATAAATTAAATAATTTATCTTATCGGCCAAAAATATTCGTCACCACGTGCATCGCACGTGCACATTACTAGTAATCCTAAAAGCACACTGTCCAATCAAATGCAAAGCCCACACTACATAAACCCAATTTAAACTAAAAACACAACTTTGACTTTCTTATTCTTTTCTCTAAAAACCCATAAAAGATAAGTTGGGACCTGTGTCTCTCCACTGGATGTAGAAGGTGACTGGCTAAAAGTGGAACCCGAATTCCTACTGATCTGCGGTGGACTCGATTTTTGAGAATCCATATACAACCATAGCGGGCCCGTACAAGGCATGTTAACCACTTTTTCTGGTGCATAGCCATTTGTAAGCTCTTCTGTGCAGTCTTGAGAATCATCATATGTATCATTCAAGTCGATGTTATTCAGTTTCGTCCTTCCTACTGAAGCAGATAGTGAAATGGATACATCTGTTGGAAGTCCTTTTTGTTTCGAATCAGAAGCGGGTATCGACACAACAGTCCCAGTAGGCGTACTAAGATCCTGCAGACGAGAGGGAAATCAGAAGATGGTTTCAATATTATTAAGACTGATTTAGAACTTTGTTAATTGTGTTGGCACCTTTGGACCAAGCGCCGGATGAGTTCCCATGTTTTGCAAGTCCTGAGATACAGGGAATCCAGCATTATTACTACCGTTAGTTGCACCAGCAAGATTCGCAAGGTTACTTAAAAGATGAGAGAGCAGATCCTGATCTTTTGATTGATCAGAGCTATTGGCTGCAAATGACAAATAGGAAAAATTGCGCAATAAGACCCCATAAATCATGGGAATATGCAAAAGGGACAAAAGATAAAAACAATCAAAGAAACAAACGGACGGCAGATTTTGGTGGAAGAATAAGAAATGAACATAAAAAGAAAAATCACCGTTAACCAATTTTACAATGATTACATAAGATTTCCAGTCTCACGTATTTCCCATAAAGAATAGGGAGATATATTTGTAATTATCCTAGTTCACTACACCAGAGAGAACCTGATTAAACTTCAAGCCAGAATGAGGTAATGCAAAACACTGTATATACCGATTAAATAAACTGGATGATAAAAACTGTGGCACAGGCATAAACTCACGATATACCAAGTTATCCCTCGGAAAAAATGTCGTTCAACAGCTAAAGAACGAAATCAGCTTAGATGCTTACAGTGTATATTAGATAGTATCCTTAGCAGGCTGATTAATAAGTGATCACTACCCCGCTCGTCATTGTTGGTGGCTGCATTCACTACATTCTCAGGGTGCGTTTTCCTCCGCCTTTTGTTATGTCCCGCTAGACGCCTACGGCAACTCCTCTTGCCTTCATCAAACTCTTTTAGAACATGAAACCTTCAAACACATATGTTAAACTAATCATTGGCAGTCTTATTAATCACCGGTTACAACAAAAGCTAGTGAAATGCGGCACTGCAAGGATAAATAATGCTAGCTATGTAGAGAAAAATACCAACGACGGTAGATAAAAAAAATAAAATAAAATAAGAAATAAATAACCTGCTACACTGCTGGCAAAACCTCTGCATAACATTGCCTACTAAAGCACAAGTAGCCTTAGAATGTACATCACACACTTTATGCCGCCGGTGATAATCCTTTGCACTGCTCAAATCTGCTTTGCAGTCCTCAACTTGACAAACGGCACGACTCGACTGGGGGCCCACAACTTTCGGCTTTTTACTGCTCTTACCCGCGGCATCGTCTGGAAGCTCCCTTTCCATGACTGGACAAACTTGTCCCCCAAGCTTCAGATTAAGGGATCCACCGGCCTCTTCATTTTCGAAATCGAAAATCCTCTTCTTTTTCTCTGAATCCCTATCCTCCCGCTCAGGGCCCGGCATCAGTTCTTCCAGGCATGGCGGGTAACAGATTGAAGCCGCTGCCCCGTTGTTCGATCCTACGGGAAAGAGCTTCCTGCTCTTACAATCCAACGGCACAGAATTAAGAGGTGCAGCCAAAAACAAATCACCATCCCATCTCCACTCATTTAAATCCCATTCAAGGCTCCTTTTCCCCAAATCAGACACCACAGGACCAAAGAAGTGATGCAATTTCCCATCAAACTTGGCCTCCATATCATGAGAATTTCAAATACACACAGAATTGAGAGAGAGAGAGAGAGAGAGAGAGAGAGAGAGAGAGAGAGAGAGAGAGAGAGAGAGAGAGAGAGAGAGAGAGAATCACTCCTCAATCGGCCTCACCACAACACCTGAAAACAAAGAAAAGCCCACCGACACACCCATCACCACAAACAGCTTCGATTAATAGTTGGAGCCACTGCCGAACAGAACTCAAGGCGGCCACGCTTCTCAATCGACCAAAAGATTCAACCTTTGATCCGAAAAACAAAGGTAGTTTAGTTTATCTTTTCTTTCTTCAGACAAAGAGCCGAGACTGAACTGAGAATCGATCTGATTACTGGAGATCTCGCCGCCGGCGATTAAGCATCAGATGGGAGAGAAAGAATATTTGGACACGGGTTTTGTACCAACCCAAAAAGATGCAAGGCCAAAACGGAAGGAAAAGCTAAGAAGGAAAACGAAATGGGCCTGAAAATTATTACGGTTGCTTTTGATATAAAACCAGAAAACATAGTAGACAACAACAGCACAAGAAAAAGGAATCATAAATAACAAAAAGGGCAGAAAAGAAACGAAAACGTAGTACAGATTTGCAAGTGGCATATTAAATCAACTTAATTATTGCCCACTTTAAGGAATCTATCGTGTTGTATAGTCCCAAGTTCACCTCCCTGTAAAAAGTTGATCTGCAAAATTTTTACAGTCAGCCATGGCTGCCAGAGTTTCTTTATTTTTTTCTTTTATGGTGGCCATGGTTATTGTAGAATTGCACTTTGTAATTTATTTCGCACAACGGGACATGATTTAACGATACAGAAACAACTTTATCCTGTAATCAAGAAAGAATCTTTGTGGGTGCAAAAACCAGAAATTTTGGTGGCCACGTTTTCAAACTTTACTGGTTCGTACCTCAATTATTGTTCAACTTCACCAGCGATTAAAAATAAAGAAGCGGTGAAAAAACAAACATTGATTTCGGCAGAATTTTCGGATTCTGCGTTGCTATTACATATTTAAAGTTTTAAACTCAAACTGTTGCTTGAATTTGGAAAACTGAACTGTGTTGATGAAATCAGAATCAGTGAAAGATACAGTGGTGTGTGCGCGGTGTGCCTAATGTTTTTTTTTTTTTT